CGGGGCTAAATTTCTAACTTAGATGCAACCGGTCCGTTCGAATAGTATTTTTTAATATACTCTTCTTCACTTGCTCATAGCTTCTCCTGCCCAAAAACTCTGCTTCTTGACACTCTCACCCTTAATCTCTCTCTGTCTCTCTCTTTTCGGAGAAGACAATCACTTACAGACAAATCTCTGCTTTGACGATTCAGGTGATTTTCACCTCTTCACACACTGTATTTTTTTTCCTACTTATTTATACACTTCTTTGTGTTCTTTTCCTCTTCCATATGAGTAACTACGTTTTTTCCACTTTTTGAAACAATAATTTTTCTGGGATCTTTTTCCTAGTATGAATTTTAATCTTCTTTATTGCAAACGTAGAAGATTCATATTTGGAGCTTTCTCTTTGTACATCACTCACAAAACCGATTTAATTAGTGACATTATCCACAGATTATCACTAAATACTTTGTGTTTATAACTTGTTTTCACTCATAGAAAGAGTAATTCATTTAAAAGTAAACCTTTTAAGCTAAAATCAAAGTCCAATATGGGTCTTGAACCTCCAATTTTCTTATGCTTTTTGGTTATGGCACTGTTAATAAACTGCTCGAATTTTGCCAATGCCGAGTGGGCAACTTGCGCTGGAATTGCACCGGTGAGGTACCGGAATGACAAGATATCGATAACGGATTTTGGAGGGGTAGGTGATGGGAGAACATTGAACACAAAAGCATTCAGAGCAGCTATATATAGAATTGGGCATTTGAAGAGGAGAGGAGGCACACTGCTTTATATTCCTCCAGGGGTGTATTTAACAGGACCCTTTAATCTCACTAGCCATTTGACTCTCTACTTGGCTAGAGGTGCTGTTATCAAAGCCACTAAGGTACCATTATGAATTATGACCATGTAATTTTTAAGCTGGAACTAGTTTTTTGCATGATTATTATGATGTTGCTCAGTCATTTTAACCGTACCAACTTGCTTTTATCTATATGTGTGAAAACAATCCGACGGTCAAGTTATAATGGCATAGAAACATAGTTAAAATACGAAATGTTTGTTTTGTAATCTATGACTTAATTGGCATGAGATGACCAAGATTGTGGCTGCAATGTCCTAAATCGGGAAAGTTCAGTAATCCCCGCTGTAGTAGGTAGGACCACATCCGCATTGGACCTATCTGATGAATGCGAAGGTTTGGTTTATATAACCGAGGCTGAGGAGACTCTTGGTGGACACTATGACAAGCATTTTTTGGTTAGCGTGGCATGTTGGTTCTTACCTTGGTAGTCGAATCAAATTTTAATAAGAGCATACTTAATGTTTAGTCACATGTATGCCTTTTAATATATTTGTATAACAGTATTCCATAACTCAGCGACTAAGTTTATTATATGATATCTGCCTACGCAGAATATGGAAATGGTATGCAGGGCAATGAAATTAGTAATTTACTAGGTAGAGAATTAAAGATAGATTGATAAACAATAAGGATAAGGGGGTGGTCCATGGGATACATAAGGACTACAATGCATGTGCATATGCATGCAAAAGATTTGACTAACAGCACCAGCTATAATGGATGACAGCAAAAGAATGCCTTTACCAGGGAAGTAATATAAAAATGAAGAAAATAAATATTAATGATAAATGACATATGGTTAGAGGTCTCAACCATGCCTGGGTATCTGACCCGCCTAACATTATCCGGGCCCGCCACCAGCCAAATTCAAAAGATAAGCGTCAATAGGGCCCCACCCGCCAACAATCAAGGCCTTGCTGGGTGTAAAGACTTTCACATTTTGTTGGTGGAAAGTCTAGCTTTTGTCATGCCATGCCTAAGACACTTCTACACGGGGTTGTGAGATTATAATTTTATAAGGTCATTTTACAGCCATTATAAGAACTTAATATTGACGGAAAAAGGAGTGAGATTGCTATATTTTTATTATTTTTGAAGGTTGTCTTGATTCTTACTGAGAGTTAAATCCGTGTAATGTCATGAAGTTTGCATAGTGTTGTGAGCATAACTATTTCAATTTGTATTCACGACAAACTTGACGTGATATGACGCCATCGAGTCTGAGACAAAAAATGAAAAGTTTAGTCCTTTTTTGCTTTAAATGTATTTGCCACATTATTTGTGCTTTATCGTGATTACCAACAAATCTTATTCTGAATGCGCGTTTATGCTGTGCAAATGTTGATTTTTGCTGTAAAGACTCGCAAAAGAAAATTATTGACTTCTTTAATATACTTATGAGATCTATACATAAGCATTTCTTCTGTCTTGCCTGTTTTAATATGCTAGCTATATGTAAATTATGTGTTTTAAAACTTATTTACTTGAAAGTGAGCTTTTTAAGCATAACAAAACATGCTTACTGGAGTGAAATTTCATCTCCTTTTATTGCTTTATCCTTTCTTTCCTTTTCGCTGCATCCTTATTTCTATTCATATGGATCTTTAAAAGTAAAAAATAAAAATCCGTCGTTAATGCTTCAGGATACCCGGCATTGGCCATTAATAGCCCCGTTACCTTCTTATGGTAGAGGAAGAGAACGACCTGGAGGAAGGTACATTAGTTTTATTCATGGGGACAGGCTGCATGATATAATAATCACAGGTTAGTGTTAAAACTGAGATCTCATTATTTCTGCTGATTCATTATGCGGCACTCACCAATTGGTGAAAAGTAAAAAAGAATCTCGAGACTATCTTTTTGTTACTTCACCTGACCTCATCTTTATAAAAAAAAATACCACAGAAGTGCCTAAGAAAATTGAGAATCGTACTAGAACATGGAGTCTCTTTGAGAAGTAATATGTGGAATTTGTTATGGATTAAACTTAAATCCCTATTTCGGGAGTAATAATAAGAAGAAAAAGTCAATCAGAAAATGAGCAAAAATCACAGATCTTTAGTAGTTCAACTTTAATGTAATCCAATCACTTGCTTTTTACTATAATGGAAAAGAAGTCTACAAGTTATGCTCGCACTTTTCTGCATACGAAAAGGGGACCCCTAATAAACCGTTTATATAATAGGAATATTAAAGCGACTTGATACATGTATGAATACCCAATATAACATTGCAATAAAAACGATTACCTCGGAGTCTACTGCCACCGAAGTGACTGAACCCCAAAAGAGTGAGGCAGTAGCACACGCAAAAAAATTGTGGGAATGTTACGGCCATATGGTACATGATTGTATGTTCATTGTACCCTTACCAAAGAAGAGGGAAAAAAAAAAAAAACTCATCTTGGAAACTACTGCTTCTGAACCCATAAAAAATTGGTCATAACGCCCCAAAGGTTGATCTTACCACAAAGGTTGTTCCATGGTCGAGGAGATGAGGATACAATATGAATAAACTCTACACACTCTAGCACCAAATACATTTCTTTTCAAGAAAAATGGCACCTCGTTATTTGTTGAGTATCGGTTCTTAGTTACGTATCTTTCTACTTTGCTTATATGTAGGTGAGAATGGGACAATTGATGGACAAGGTGACGTCTGGTGGAACATGTGGAGGCAAAGAACCCTTCAGTTCACTAGGCCCAACCTTGTTGAATTCATGAACTCCAGAAGTATAATAATTTCCAATGTAATATTCAAGAACTCACCATTTTGGAACATTCATCCTGTGTATTGCAGGTAATATTTTAGTATGTCGCACTTTTTTAAACGGATATGAGAGATCATTACTTACATTTTGACTTCTGATGGTTCACAATTGTAAAAATTCTTTTATTATTTGGTCAGAATTTTCTTTTGTTAAAAAGATGGATATATTTGATGTCGCCTTCATTTTCTAGGCGAACTTCAATTTTTTGAGTTTTTGTACAGAAAATACCTGCAAGTAGATTACATGATCTTGATCATAGTCCTGAAGTTATTTCTCCTGTCATTTTGTCATTGAAATAAATGACTTCATCTATGTATGATTTTAATCCCCTAGTCTCAATGAGAGAAAATGAGGGATCCTAAGATATTTGGAGAATCATTTAAACAGAGATTTATTCTATCCATGCAAGTACATTGCTATTTGCATTAGCATCAAAATTATTCGAGTATGTTACACGGAGATCAAGTATGTTTAGCTAAACTAAAAAAGTTCACTTTAAACGAGTTCTACAATAAATAAATTTGCTTTGCTGAATGCGTGAAACTGGAATTTATTAAGTTATTTCGAAAATAAGGTAGAGTTACTTTCAAAACAAGTAACTTTGTTATTTAAAAGTATGGAAACTTAATTATCTAAATATGATTGGAGGAAAAAAAAGGATGAAGAAGAAGGTTACTCATACTTTCTTAAGCTTACAAAACATGCTCGTAGTGATGGGTGATCTAGTCTTAACTCTTTTTTCCTTTTCGTCATGTCAGCAATGTCGTAATTCACCACGTCACCATACTGGCTCCGGCTGACTCTCCCAACACAGATGGAATTGATCCAGGTAGGCTGAGAAAATTTAATGTAATGCCAGTTCTTCCTATTTCAATATAAGGTCAGGCACATTTCATTAAATGAATGTGGTTTTTACGAGTAGAAGTGGTTTATATTCTCCGCTTCATCATTCTGCACTCTGCATAAAGATTATAGTGCACCTTTGGTACGTAGTATTGGATACAACTAAATACGAACAAGATTTTATTTTCTTGCCATTCAATCACTTCCAACTGATTTTTTCTTTTTTCTTTTATTTATTTATTTATTTTTCTTCATGTACAGATTCAAGCTCCCATGTCTGTATTGAGGACTCCTACATATCAACTGGAGACGACCTTATAGCAGTGAAGAGTGGGTGGGACGAGTATGGCATTGCATATGGTCGGCCTAGTCACAGCATCACCATCCGTAGGGTAACTGGATCATCACCATTTTCTGGAATCGCAGTTGGGAGTGAGACTTCTGGTGGCGTTGAAGATGTTTTAGCCGAGCACATAAACTTATTCAACATGGGAGTCGGCATCCATCTGAAGACAAATGTAGGTCGAGGAGGAGTTATACGAAACATTAGAGTCTCCAATGTCTACATGGAGAATGTAAGGAAGGGGATAAAGATCTCGGGCGATGTTGGAGACCACCCTGATAACAATTTCAACTTAAACGCTCTTCCCGTGCTCAAGGATGTCAAAATTAAGGATGTCTGGGGCGAAAACGTTCAACAGCCAGGTTTGATTCACGGTCTGAAAAATGCACCATTTTCGGGGATTTGTCTATCTAATATCCATCTCCGTGGTTCCCCTGGTCCGAGAAATTTGCCCTGGCAATGCTCTGATGTAACTGGGGCTGCTATTCAAGTTAGCCCATGGCCATGTTCTGAGCTCACCAGTCGGCCGCAACATAGTGAATGCTCCAGTTACTTTTGAAATTCTTGTTCTAATGAGCGTGTAGTAATATGATGATTCCGCCTTACAAGAGGAAATAAATTCAAGAAACGTCAAATTACGTGCACATTTTGGCTCGTGGAATAAATCTTCTTGGACAGGGCCGTTTCCAAACTTAGGTGCCCCCTCTTGGAGGACAGGCGCCCCCTCCAATAGGGGCACCTAATACGGACAGCGCTAACGTGGCCCTGTTCGTCCAGCATTTCTATTGGGTCGTGATATGAATATGAAGTTTTTCTCGGACCGCGCAAATTTATGATGTTTTTGTATTTAAAGTCGAACATGATGATTGACTTGGACTATTTTTCCGCTATTTATGAACACTCTTTTTTATGCCCATTGTTTTATCAAAATAGATTTGTAATAGTAAATTTTTAGAGAAGGTATGATTAAAAAGTAGAAAAAATTTTGAATTTACATGTAAAATGTTTTATCTTGAAAATAAATTTGAGAAAAAAATGAATTTTGAAATAATGAGAATCAAACATGGGTGAATTTACTAATTTGACACCCACAAGTAGTCATGTAAATCGAGCTGAACCCTGTCTCAATTCGTCTCAAAGTGGAAAGTCTTGGCATATCGACCAGCTTTATTATGGTGTTGAAATTTTGATCGCATTTTTTGCTCGTAGAATTGAAATGCTATAAATGAGTAATATGTCATATGTTGTTTTATTATTCTCTCAATCAGGTTTTCTTCTATTACACAAACATTAAGAAAATATAAAATTTACTTATATTTTTCCTAATATACTCTACGTTAAATATATAAATATGAGTAGTTCATATTAAGTGATAACAAGAGACATTAAACATAAATATATTAAAAAAACTAATAAATTAAATATACTTTTGATGAGAAAAGTAGTTTATAATTTTGGACAAACGAAAAGAAGAAAGTATATTTCATGAGATGAGCCGATTTTTTCAACCTTAACGGCTTAAACGCACACATTTTAATGGTGTTTATCAAATCGCCCAAGTTTTTCCGTTTGGCATAGTACATTTTGTACACGGTGGTGTGTCTTGGCCCCTCTAATTCCAAAGGTGAGTTGGCCGAATTTCTTACCGTGTTAATTACGTAATATATAACTATCAATTAAATCTTAATAAACATCAAATTATCATTCCCCAACTTTAAAAATAACATACGAACTATTCTGAATGGAATACGTCACCTACGGGTCACGGGAATCAGAGGAAATCAAAGTCCATAAAACCAGCTAAGGACCCATCAGTAGTGACTGACAGGTGTCAGTACATGCACGTACCCAACTCTTTTAATTGCTTAATTTTCGACACGTGGAACTGAAATAAGCGTACAAATCAAATCGACCGGACATAGAGTTGAATGCATCACAATTAGTATGGCTATACATTTTTTTTTTTTTAAATGGCACGTTTTATTAATAATAAAATAAATTAATAAAAATTCAGGGGGATTCGACGTGACCTGTCCTAAGATAGGGATCACACTTGAGTATGTTAGATGGTATTAAAGACAAAGAAATTAAAATTTGGTACAGAGCAATTTCTTACAGACCTCTCACTGTAGAGGTCGGTTCCACATGAAAAATAGATCGTGCTATACGTACATAATGGTTTACCTAACCGTTTACACCTTACTCATATCATCAAGGTGGGGACCACGGCTCGACATTATTAAATACACGCGGGGCCCATGTGTTTGTGAGAGGGGGGTAAACGCTTCGATTAGCCTCCCTCGGTACAAAGAGAATAATCCAAAATATATATACATATATACGCCGGAGCCCACGACTGTGAGGGATCTGGCAGACCTTGCATTCTTAGAATTTCATCCATAATACATTGACCAACCATGCAAATATCTGATTTTTTTCTTTTTTCAGTTTTTATTTTCATGATATTTTTTCATTTTTTGGAAAAATAGAAAGAAAAAAATAAAAAAGAAATGACAGCCTGATATCTATAAATTTCCACCTTGTACTGGAGCATTTGAACCCAAAGAAACTCTCAAATTCCAAAAAAGGAAAAAAAGGGAAAAGGAAAGAGGGCTCTAGACAATGGATGGCAATAAGAGAGAGCTACATTTTGTGTTCATGAATTATGATCCGGAATATGAGCGCCTTCGATCCAACAGGCCAGTTTTGGGCGTGTACATTTAAGTTTCTTATTTTGTTAAACATTATTTATAAGTTATTTTTTTACCAACACAACTCACTATTCTGAAGTGCGCTTAGTATTCCTTTTGGTTTACAGAACAAAAAAAGGAGAAAATGAACTTGATTTGTACTTGAGTAGGAAACACGATGAGCTATTGGCAAAGAATCTCCAACCCGGAAGCTACACGAAAACCCTCTCATTGGTTATTGTCGACGGGTTTGCAGTAGAAATCACCAACGAACAGGTCACATTTCTAAATATTTATATACGTATATGTTTTATATACGTACTTATGTTTCATGAATGTCGAAATCTTCGCGCGTGTGTGTGCGCTTCTAATTTTTATTCAACCTTAATTTTGCGACGAACCCATCGGGTTGTATAAAGATGCTTTCGCCAAGATCTTCATTCAAGAATGCCATTTCGACATCCACTTGCCATCTCGACAACTCTGTGTGTGTGTGTGTGTTTTTTTTT